ACACCCGAGCTGGCCCAGGCCTCTGGGTAAGGATCCGCCGCCAACGACATTGAATTAACAAACACTACCAACATCCCCCCTAAATAAACCATAACAAGCACCAGAGACACAAAGGAAACCCCCAAGCTTACCAACCAACCACACCCTGCAGCTGCCGCTGCAACCAGCCCAGCGCCCCGTAATAAGGGCAGTGGTTAGATGCAACTGCCAACCCCCCCTAAAACAAAGCACAACCCTAAAAATAAAACAAATTCTATCATAAATTCCTACTCGGCCTCTCTCCTGGGCTGGGCTCGATTTACTGCGCGGGGGAGTGCACAGGGCCGAGCACCCCAGCAGAGTCAGGGCCGAGAGTGCTCTGGGTCGCTTCAATGCAAAGTTCGTGCCCTCGCCTTATTCCCCCGGCGAGGGGCTTTGCGTGGTCCCGTGGAGTGTCGGGAGTGGGTGCTGGTGGGCCAGACTGCTCAGGCAGCCCTGCATGGCCCCATGTCCCGCCCTGTCTCTGGACCTTGGGCGAATCCTGGTTCCCGTGAAGGTGGCGGCCAGCTGGACTTCTCGTGTGGTCACTGACTTCGAGGAAAAGGCGATGCGCCTTTTGGCGTGCACCCAAAGGTGTCCAAAGGTGTTTTCGTTGTCCACCCCCCTTCCACCTCCCCTTTAACACTTGTTACTGCCCTCGGTGAATTGAAATAACCAAGTGTCAAGCGCTGTTCATCCGTTTTCATTGCTGGAGAGCGGTGCAGGGAGGTGTCCTTCCCGAGAGCAAAACGGGGCCAGGTGAGACATCCGTGCTGGACAAATATTGAAAGAAGGGAGTTTGCGACACAGGCGGTGGTGCCCAAGTGCGGTGCGGCGGCCCAGGTTCCGCTTGTACATGTTCCTGGTTTTTGCAGATTTCCTTTTGTAATATCTTGGGCAACCCGAGAGGAACCTTCCCGCACCTCAGGCGGTTCCTTCGGAGACGGTACTCATCTCCCAAAGGCAAATGTACGAATTGGAATCGTTCATCTTTAAAGGCATCACTGCAGCAGGGGTGAGGGCTGAGTCCGGCACAGCGAGGGAATTGCTCCTGCCGGGTGTCGCATCGAGCGCTCAGGAGCCGGGGAGCGATGTTCCATTGCCTGCGCACCCCAGCGCATGGGCAGAGCGCTGCCCGCGCCTGTCGTGGGGGTCTCCCTGCATCGTTTTCCTCCCTGGGCACTGCTCCCAAATTTTCCAATGATCTGCTAGGTCTGGCCGGTTTCAAGACCGGTTTCCGAGCCCCCAACAGTTTGGAAACAGTGGCTTCTCAAAATATCCCTCCGCTTCCCTTTGCAACTTGCTCCCTTCGCCGTCGGTCCTGACGGAGCTGCCTCTCAGGGACAGACAGACCGCACAGACTGACTTCCCAGGCTACCTGCCTGAGTTTTGTGGCTCGGTGGTGTCGTGCCACCTCCCCAGTGTGGCATTCGCATCACACCGTGCGCCAGAGCTGAGCAGGCACCGGCAGCCCTGGCGGAAGGGGAAAGATTGCCATGGTTAAATGAACTGGGCTCCCCAGTCCCTCTGGGCATTTGTTGCTCTTGGATCAACAGGAGAGATCCTCTTCTCCTCTTTCTTACCCCTTAAGACCTTCAGTAAGGCTGTCGGGAAGATGCTCCACCACGGCGTTAAGGAGGGGTACCCTGGCCTTGTCATGCTCTCGAAGAGAGGGACATACCGTGGTCAAAACGCTGCGCTGGGAGGAGGCTGGTGGCAGAGGTTTTGGGGAAAAGAGCCTGTTTGGGGGTGTTACTCCCCTTCACGATCCGGTGGCACTTAGCCTGTCTGACCTGGGGGAAACTTTGCAAGGCGGCTGGATGTGGCTCTGCGTGTCTCGAGCAGGAGCAGCGGGGTCAGGAGCCACTCGACATGGTTTGCTCATCGGCTTTCAAGTGTCTGGCTCCAGCCAGAAAGTGGCATGAGCAAGGACTTGCCACCCCATGGGTGATGACTCCTTGGGAGGAGGGAACAGAGCCAGCTCTGTGGCCAGGAAATTCCCCCGAATTCACCTCGGTGTTGCTAGGGATTTGCTTTCTTCATTTTCAGTGTGTTTTGCGGTAGGTGTGACATGGATTTGAGAGGGATGCAAGGTATATGTTAGATTTATACTTGTGCTTCTGGCTATGGTGCTCTGCCCGTAGCGATCGTTCCCTGGCTGCACTCAAATCCACTTGCTTTTGAAAAAGGAGATTCCTCTGCGTTGCACGGGGCCAAGGCGGGGAAGGAGCAGGCTCCCGTTCAGGTGTGTCCCAGCGGGACAAGAAGGGTCAGGAGCTCAGCCCCTGTTCCCGGCTCTGCACAGGCCTGGAGCCCGGGCTGCTGGAGGGGAGCGGGCACCGCAGCTCGGCAGAGCAGCACAGCTGCGGCACCGGCTGTGGGTAACCTGGCGGCTCCCGGGGGCCGTGGGGCTGCTGGGGTGGCCGGGGACTCTCCCAGCCTCTCCATCCCGCCCAGCAGCCTCAAGGGCTGGCCACGACAAGTCCCTGGCCTCCCACCAGCGCCTCACACCCATCTACCATGGAGTGGCAAAGCATTTAATCCAGCCAGCGCTGAGGAGGGCAAAGGAGGGACAGGGATGCTCTCAGGGGGCAGCGCGACCCCTTGGGGAGCCCCGGGGCGGGGAAGGGAAAACATCTCTGTCGGTGCGGTGTCGAAGCTGTGTTTGCTCTCCCAGGTGGGTCCCTGTCGGCTCAGCGGGACAGGGCTGCTCGGGAAGAGTGACCCGAGGGTGAGCGATGCCTCTGCCAAGATACAGCTGGGAACGCCGAGGGGCCTCCTGGCCGCCGTGCTCGGTGCCACTCGGAGCGGTCCCCACCAGGCCACCGGGCAGCGAGCCTGGGGGAAGCCAGCCTTGTGCCCCGGCCGCACGGAGTGCCAGCAGCAGCTCTGAGCGGTGTGAGCACCATCACAGCCCACGGGACCCAGGGAAGGGATAATTGCCCGCACTCGGCGCTCGTGAGACCGCATCTAAGACTTGCGGGCATTTTTGGGACAGCCGGTGCAGCAAACAGTCGTGAGGGGCGAAGGGCTGACGAGGCAGGGGAAGCTGGGGCAGCTGCCTGGGGCGGGAGGGCTCTCCTGGAGCGGGGCTGGCTCATCCTGGGGCAGAGGCAGTGTCGGGGGCACTCCGCAGCGCTGCGGGGATGCGCATCCAGCAGCCTGGCTCTGGACAGAGTGCGTGGTGACAGATCGAGGGATGGCGGGCGTGAATGGAAACAGGAGTCCGGACGCACTCATCCCAGGCCCCTCCGAGGTCCCCGGTCCCGCCCCGCGGGTGGACGTGAACGGGGAATTGCACTGGCATGGCATCGCCCCTGTAACGGGACATTCCCACAGTTTCCCCTTTCCGGCACGGTGGGAGCAGTCCCACGGCCACGCGTGGGCGGTTCCTGACTTCGCGCACAGGTCTCCGCCTTCCCTTCTCGCTCCTTTCGCGTGGGCCGTCTGCAGGCGGGACTTTCCAAGAAGCGGTTCTTGCAAAGCTCTTTGTTCCCTCCCGTGACTCACGCGTTTCCCTGCCCTTATCACGGCGATGTCAGCGGCTTTGAAGTCCGGTCATTTATTACCTTCCCGGAGCTGGCCCTGTCTTGCTCTGCTGATAGACCCGGGGACGTTTCCACGCGGAGTTTGATCTCTGCCCGCGCTGGTGGCACGCTGGAAAGTCACTTTCGATAAACCTCGACAGACTCTGCCGGACAAACTATTGCAGCGCTAATGACAGAGATAATCCTCTCCTAATCTGGCGGGTAATCCATTTCACCCTAGTGAGAATTTTTAAGGCTTTAATCAGTGAGAGTCTGTTAGGGAATTATTAACAGAGCCTCTGCCGAGCGAGCTCGTCCAGAGAGGAGCAATGGGAGTGGGAAAAGGGAGAACGCAACGGGGCCCGATGAGGTCAAAATCGATGCACGACCAGGCCCGAGAGCTGACGTGATGAATTTTGATGTTGCGATAGAATTGCCTTCAGTTCGAACGCCACGAAAAACCCGCGCCATCGATTCCCCTATGCCCGCTGTGACAGCGGCTCTGCTGGCGGCGGGGACCGGCACTCCCGGGGGAGCGGGAGAAGCGCTGGGGGTAAGACGTGCAGGGGTGACGCTTCCCGGTGCCGAGAGGCAGGCCGTGCCAAAGCCCAGAGGCGCGTTTCGGTAGCGGCTCTTGAGGAGAGGTGCCGAGGCGCTCCGGGGCACCTCGCTCGACGTGCGGGGCCGCCGTTGGGAGCTGCGGCCACGGCGGTGCGGGCGGTGCCGGGCGGTGCAGGGCGGTGCGGAGCTGTGCCGGGCGGTGCGGGGCTGTGCCGGGAAGTGCGGGGCTGTGCCGGGCGGTTCCGGGCAGTGCGGGGCTGTGCCGGGCAGTGCGGGGCAGTGCGGGGCTGTGCCGGGAGGTGCGGGGCAGTGCGGGGCTGTGCCGGGCAGTGCGGGGCTGTGCCGGGCGGTGTGGGGCTGTGCGGGGCGGTTCCGGGCACTGCCGGGCAGTGCGGGGCTGTGCCGGGAGGTGCGGGGCAGTGCCGGGCAGTGCGGGGTTGTGCCGGGCTGTGCCGGGCGGTGCGGGGCGGTGCCGGGCAGTGCGGGACTGTGCGGGGCTGTGCCGGGCGGGGGCTCCGTCGGGTCCCGCCCGCCCCCTCCCGCCCCGTGCTGGGCGCCGCCCCCCGGCCGCGCGCGGGGTCCCCCGCCCTCCCCGGCGCGCTCTGATTGGCTGGCGGCGGGGCCCGGCGGCACGCGCCCGGGGATGTCGTTATAAGACCCCTCGCGTGCCGGCCCGCGGCGCCAGCGGCTCCGGCCCCTCCCGGAGAGCGGCGGCGAGGCCCGGCCCCGCCACACCGCGGCGGGCAGGGCAGGGCAGGGCAGGGCGGGGGCGGCCCCGCCACCGCCACCGCCGGGGCGGCTCGGGCAGCGGGCCGGAGACAGCGGCTGCGGGCGCGTCCCGGCGGGGCTGCCCCCCTGCCCCGTCCCGTCCGCGCCGGGCCCGGGAGCAGCAGCATGGAGACCGTGCTGCTGGAGCACTTCCCCGGGGGGCTGGACTCCTTCTCCTCGCCCCCCTACTTCGACGAGGAGGATTTTTTCTCCGAGCCGCCTCCGCGGGACGTGCTGGCCGCGGACGGGCTGCTGGAGCCGGACGTGGATTTCCTCAGCCGGCAGCTGCAGGAGTACTACCGCGACGGCGGCGACCCCGAGGGCGGCTACCGCTGCCCGGCGCCGGCCGCCGCCTTCCCGCCGTCTCCCGCCTCGCCCGGCTTCGCCTACGAATGCTGCGGGGCGGCGGGCGCGGCCCTGCTGTCCCCCGGGGGGCGGCTCCAGGCGCTGGGCTCGGCCAAGCGGCGGCGGCGGGTGCGCTCCGAGGCGGAGCTGCAGCAGCTCCGTCAGGCCGCCAACGTGCGGGAGCGGCGGCGGATGCAGTCCATCAACGACGCCTTCGAGGGGCTGCGCTCGCACATCCCCACGCTGCCCTACGAGAAGCGCCTCTCCAAGGTGGACACGCTGCGCCTGGCCATCGGCTACATCAACTTCCTCAGCGAGCTGGTGCAGTCCGACCTGCCGCTGCGCAGCGCCAGCAGCGAGAGCCCCAGCCAGCCCAAGAAAATCATCATCTGCCACCGCGGCACAAGTAAGTGGCGGGCCGGCACGGCCCGGCGCGGCCCGGCACCGCGCTCCGCAGGAATGCCGGCCCCAGCAATAACCCCCTGCCTCCCTTTTCCCTCCTGCCCTCCAGGATCTCCCTCTCCGAGCGACCCCGACTACGGACTCCCCCCTCTGGCCGGTCACTCGCTGTCGTGGACTGATGAAAAGCAGCTCAAGGAGCAAAACATCATCCGGACAGCCAAAGTGTGGACCCCCGAGGACCCGCGGAAGGTGAACAACAAACCCTCCGTCAACGACATAGAGAACGAGCCCCCCTTCGACTACGTGGCGTGAGGCGCCGCGCGGGTGGTCCCCGCCCCCGCCCGCTCTGTACATGCTGTATGTAGAGACCTATATTGTAAATGTAATTTAAGATTCAGACTCTAAGGGCAATCAAATTTATTTATCTATTTATTACGGAGTAGTGATAATGAGGTAGAATCGTTTGTTTTGAATATATAATTTATATAATTTATCTTGATTTTTTTAAAGATATGCAATAGGTTTATTCCACCAGCACCTTTTTTTTTTTTTATTTTAATGGGGGCAATACGTCAGAACCTGTGAAAATAATTTATTGCCGCACGTGGACTCTCCTTGTGTTTGTTAATAATAAACCCGAATTGTACTTTGTGGAGCAGTATATTTGTGGGAAGCGGCTTCCAAGGGTCCCGCCACATCCCGAGGAAGCCTTGCAATGAACGCCTGGACCGGTGTCCAGGCGGGCTGAGCCCCAAGGCTCATGGCACCCTCAGCCCAGATGCTGGCCCCACTCTGCCCCACCGCCGGCTCGGGCTGCGCTTATAGCGCCGGGGGGACGGGGACGGGCGGGGACACACTTTCGCCTTCTCTCCACCCCTTTTGACGTCCTCTCCTGAAGTGCTTCCAACTGATGTCTTTGTCTACCTCTAGAAGGTCCCCTCCTTTCAGTGTCTCAGCACCGCTTGTGGTTTCCAGCTGGAAGACCCGAGCCCCCAAACACAAACCTTGCGAGGGTGTGTGTCCCCCGCCTCGTACCCCCGACCGCGCCGCCGTGGGATTGGGCGCGCTGTCCAGAGCCGCACAAAGCTGCTCCTGAAAGTTGCCGGGGAGGGAAGGACGAGCCTGGGGGCCGGGCGGGCCTGGGGCTCTGCCGGCTGCCCCGAGCCTTCCGCGGTTCTCCCACCGGCCGCGCCTTGGAAACAGCCCCCGCGCCCCTCGCCCTGGGGCTGCCGCTGCGGGCGGGGGAGGGGGGATAGGGGGATGGCAAAGCCATCGTGCAACTGGTGGCAGAATCGCTCTGGTAGCCCCAGCTCAGCGTGCCCGGCTGCGGAAGGGACGGCTGGGCTGCACCTGCCCGGGGGCGAGGGGTGGGGGCGGCAGGGGCCGGGCGGGCCGGGGGCTGCGAGTGCTCCCGGCGGGAGCGGGGGGGCGGCCCCGGGCTGGGACGGGGGGCTCGGCCCGACGCCGCAGGTGCTGATTTTCCCGTGGCACCCGCGGCTCAGCCCCCGGCAGAGTCCCAGATGCCCGGCCAGGCCCGCGGCCGGAGCAGAGCTGTCCCCGCGCGGTGCCCAGGCGGATGGGAACCGCCCGGGTGAGCCAAGGTATAATTATAACTCATAATATACTGTACATCTCTCCTTCTCCTTTTTTTTTTTTTTCCCCAAACTGCCTCAAAGTGGGAGCAATATGTTGCATGCATGCTAATTGCATTAACCTAGTTAAACACATTTAGTTCCCTAGCGCGGATGGCATGGATCTATTCCAATAGCAATTAGAGGAGCTACTTACACACACAAACACGCTGAGGCTGGCCCGGGGCGGGGGCTGGGTGGGTGGGGGATCACTACTTATTTATTTGCTCACTTTTCGTGCGATTCTGGGCAGTGGCGGGGCTGACCGGCCGCAAGCCTCGCCCCGTCCGGCGGCAGGCGGGCGGTACCGGTGTCATTGAACTTAAACGGGGCTCTTTGAGAGAAAAAGAGCCGACCTATAATTCGATCTTGTCCTGTATTAGGACCTCATTAAACACAGAAAGTCGCTTTTTCACAAATGCTTCCATCAGGCATGTAATCTCATTACACTCATTAGAAAGTCAAATGTTAGTCGGACTTCAGTTTAATTATAAGTTATGGAAGTGTTGTACCGTTTCCTTCTGTGTATAGCCTCGTTCGTCTCAATTGGCTTTGGTGATGCGATTCCCCCACAATTAAAACACTACAATCATTGTTATGTGGCACCTTTTCTTTGGCGTGCCACTTTTTTGTGATTCAATGCTTCAACACATCCTTTAGTATGGTGCAGATGAAGCGGAAGAGCCGGCCTTCGCATGTAAAGCACCAGGGTCTCTATCTTGTCACTCTCCCGTCTTGACTTGGCAAGTCCCTTTAAACGCAATCTTCAAAGAGACTGACAGCTCCTTTTGACTGACTCATCATCCATTCACCCCAGCGCCGCGCTCCTGCGACAAAATCCGCCGCACAGGGCAGGAGGGACGCGCCTGTGCAGGTCCCCCGGCCCAGAGGGACCCGGCGGCTCACGCAACGCCGCTCGCAGCTCTTGCGGCACCTTTGGGGGGTTTGCTGGTGAGAAACACGGCTCGGCGCGGTACGGACCAGCGTGGGGAAGGCGTGACTGACAGCCACGCAACCCCGGTTCCCAGCCGCCTGCCCTCTCCTCCCCGCGGCCGTGAGCTGCACCCTCTAGCGCTGCCCCCGAGGCCCCGTGGGCAGCGGCTCCCCGCCTCCCTGCCCCGCTCCCAGAGGCCCCGCTGTCCCCCAAAACCCCGCACCGGCTCCCGTGGGGCCACCCCTTCCCGCCCGCACTGCCCCGACGGCGCCCCGGGGGCGGGGGAGGCCCGTCCGGGCTCCGGGACCGTCCCGCCTCCCTCCGCCGCTCCCCGCAGCCCCGCGGGAGCTCGAAAGCAGGGTCGGAGAGAACAAAAGGGGGGGAATCCCCAGCCCCGCTTGGGGTGGGAGGGAGTGTTAGAGGCACTTGCAGGCGGTTTGCTTCCTGCGGTCTCGCAGCAGGGAGGTGCGGATTCTAGGTGTGCGGGCTGATGCTCTGCTTCCGGAACCAGCATCACTCGTGATGCCCCAGGTGTAAAGACAACTTAATTACCGAAACCGACAGTCCTCCATAAAAAAACCCCAAACTAAACAAAAAACCCTAAACCCCAACGACAACAACAAAAAAAAACCCCAACCCAAAAAACCAAAGCAACAAACAAAACCCAAAAAACAACAAGCCCCCCACCCAAAGGAAGGGAAGCATCAGACCGCTCGCCTGCACAGCCAGCAAAGGGATGGGAAGGCGTGCGTGACTCCTGGGCAGAGCCGTGCGCAGGCAGGGGCTGCCGTGGGCACTGTGAACCCGTCCCGCCGCGGTTCCCAGGGCCTCTCATCTGCCGGCAGTCGGGTGAGCGCCCTGCGAGGCGCGGGGCGTGAAGCCTCCCGAGCCCGGGATCTCATCCCTCTTTCATTCACGCATCTCTCGCTGGCACCGAGTACCAGCTGCGAGGTCGAACAAACACCAGTTGAGTGTCCCCTGGTAAACCTCCCGCTTTCCAAAGCATCCCGCAGCCGGTGGGAATGGTCCTAAATAACTCCACAACAAACCGCGCTGCCGAGACCTGGAAGCGTGGGCGGGAGGCGATTCCCACGACGGGGCCGGGGTCTGGCCAACAGGTGCTCGGGTTTGGCGGAGGGCGCCGGGGGAGCCCGGGGAGGCAGAGCCTCCGCTGCCAGAAAGCAGCCTGCTCCGGCGCCTCCGGCTTTACATGGCGTGGAAGCCGCAAACAATCGCAATGATATCTTTATTGCTAGGTTCATGTCCTGGGCTATAACATATCAATCCCTGTCGTGGTTCTCTCGGATGCACCTGGTATTTCAAACTTGTTCTTTTTGTGCTTCTGGGTCCTGGACTGCAGCTGCCTAAAGCGAGCAAAGAGAGAGGCCCTTACAATGTGTCCAAGACGTGTTGGCATGGTTTGCTTGTCTTTAATGTACCATTAACTATTGTCTTTACACAATATGGGAACTGTAAAGCATGACATGTGTTATAATAAAACACATTTTCAACGATACACTTGGACTCGGCGCTGGGATGCAAGCAAACAAACAGGCCCAAATCTTGTTTTGTCTCCCTCGCTAAGCCTACTGGCAATTAAACTTAAGACCACTGCTTTCCCCTGATCAGCCAATTAAATTTTATGTCTCCTAATTTTTCACATAGAAAAAAAGTCTCGGTGCCGGCCCCTAAAGACATTGATTTTCTTGCTATCACCTGGCGCTCAGACCTTAGTTCCATTTATCAAGAAGGGAAACGTCAGGCGTTGCATAAAGTGACTCTGTTACCATAAGGCTCTCACCATCCTGCCCTATTGTTTTCCCTTGTTAATAACTCATTACCAGGATTTAACAAATCAACCATTACATATGTTTTGTGTCTCCATATTTTGATCCGTACGATTAAGCAGATGTTACGATTGAAAATTGAAAAGTCCAAGGCTACTCTCGTCTGAAAGAAAGAGGGCAGCCTCAAACAACGAGCTAACAATGAGATTCAGAAGATCTTCAGAAAAACATTTACGACCAATAAACAGACTCCAACCTGCTCCATTTCAACCATTGTGCGCCTTAGGGGAATAATTAGGTTGAATAGGAAGAGGTCCGCGGGGTTTTCAATGCCAAGCCCACAGGTGCGGGGTGGCACGATGAATGATCCGCCTGATTTTTGCCAGGCTCAAGGGCCCTTCTCCTGGCCGGGCGAGCAGATACGAAATATTGTCATTTCTTTTAATTCACGGCGTTACTCTCAGGGCGAACAAAGGGGCGGGGAATGAATGGCTCCGGCTGCAGGCGAGGCGCGCCCGGCCGCCGCTGGCCTCTCCGGAGACCGCCCGGCGGGGCCGAGCGCGCCGCCGCCGCCGCTCCCGGGGCCCGTCCGGGCTCGGGGGGGTGCCCGTGCCCCCCGCGCCGCCGCGCGCCCCCCGCGCCGCTCCCCTCGCGCCGCCGCCGCGGCCCCGCGCCGCCCCCGCGTCCCGCGCCGCCGCGCGCCTCGCCGGGACCGGACCCCGCGCGGGCGCACGTGCGCCCCGCCGCTCCCCGCGCCGCCGCCGCGGCCGGGAGGGGGCGGGCGGGGCGGCTCCGGGCCGGAGGCGGCTCCCGGCCGCAGCCCCGGTGCGGACCCGCCGCCGTCGGGGCTCCGGCGAGCGGCAGCGGGCGGCGGCAGCGGGGCTCTCCCGCCCGCCGGCCCGCGTTGCGCATGGAGGTCTCCAAGAGGGGGCCCGTCTGCCGGGAGCCCCCGCGGGCGAG